CTTTCCACTTTATCTGCCTTTCTCCTTGGAGTGCACGTGCCCTAAGGCAAAAAATCTTTTACAAAATTGTGGTTTGGCCATCCACCCTGGGGAGAGATTTTGCTCCGTGCCTCTCCAGGGAGCCCGCGTACCCTCTAGCTAGCAAACAAAGAAATGAAACAGGTTTCATTTATTAGCCTGTGGAATTCCCTACCCCATCCATCCTCCCTGCCAAAAAAAAAAAAAAAAAAAACAGAAAGCCCTTCCGTATCTTAGGAATTTCTGGTTCATGGCTGCCACCTAGTACAGCATTGTGAGCTTGAGCATGAGTGTTACATGGTGCGGAAGCGCTCCTGGGGCCGCAGTCCAGATCAGGCGGTGCCAAGGGGAGGTGGGCAGGCACCACTCCAACCTGGGCACAGTTGTCCACAGCCCACCTGCAGTGTGCGGGACAGGGGTGGCCAGGAGGGTGCAGTGTGGTCACAGAACTGGCTCCTGTGTCGGTGAGCGACTGTCCTGCGTTAAAGGGCCCCAGTCTTGTCACCCTCAGTGGTTGGGGGCTGTAAGTTTGGGGTCCCTGGAGAAGGCCCTGCAGCCTGACTGAGCAGGAGGGCCCCAGTGGGGGGGAGGAGGAAGGGCGAGGCCCGGGTTTGGGGGAGCTCCTTGGGAACGAGGGCCCACCTGGGCACTCGGGCAGGACTAGCTGAGCTCCATGGAGTCTGTGTTGGGGGCCGGAGCAGAATCCTTCTGGATGCTTTCAAAGAGGGTGGCCAGCTCGGGGTTGGATCGGATCTGGGAGGAGAAGTCGGCCATGATGGGGCTTTTGCCGGCCTCGGGGATAGTCAGGAGGGCGGCCACTGCCCTCATCGCAGAGCGCTTCAGCTCATCCTGCTTCTCAAACTCCTGCTTCACGGAACCGGCTTTGACCTGTTAGTGGGAAACAGCTGAAATGGGCCTCTGGCTTTCTCCGCCACCATCTGTCCCCACCGTCCCCACCTACAGCCCCCCTGCTTCAATTGCATCCGATCTCCCACCTTCATTAGTCATTCGACACTGGGGCCAGCAGGTGGCGTAGTGGTTGAGGTGTTGGATTCCCACATGGTTGCTCACGGTTGGAGTCCTGGACCCCACGGCTTGAAAATCTCTCCAGGCATTGTGTGTGTGTGTGTGTGTGTGTGTGTGTGTACACACGAGTGGAGGAGAAGGGATAGCGGTGGGACCATCCTCCCTGGGTGGTGGTTTCTCACTTTCCTACCCCCTGTCGGCGTCTCTCTGGCAAGTGCATGCGTCTCATGGCAATAATAATTCAACAGTGACAGGGACCGGAAAGCAGCCACCTGGTACCTCCTTCCTACAACAGCAGGGACCCAACTTGCTCACTGTGCTTAAGACAGGCGCTTGGAACTCTGTGGCTGGACTGAAGGGATGGTGGTTTCTCAGGTGGCTCTCCAGCATCGTCGCCTGGCCCCAGCCCTGGCCCTCTAGTCCCTCTGCCATACCAGAGCGCAGGCATCCCAGACTGCCTGGTGCAGCTCTGCTTCCTTCTCACCACCTCCCACCTTTCCAGAGAGCTCAGTAATTTGCTGCTTCTGCAGTAAAGTCTGAATTCCTTTTCTCTCTCTCTCTCTTTTTTTTTGGGGGGGGGTGGGGGGCCGGGGAGAGGTTTTTGTTATAGGGCACGTGTGTTTGCTAGAAAGACACAGAGACAGAAAGCAAGAAATCACACCCCAGGGGGATGGCCATGCCGCAATCCCTTCTCCTCCATTCTCCTCTCAGGATCTTGGGCACGCACGCACACGCACCCGGCGTGAGTTTAAGCCACTCGGTCCAGGACTCGAACCGCGGTCAGCTACATGGGAGTCCAGAGACATAGTCATTATGCCAACTGCTGGTCCCGTAGTCCAAATTCCTTAAACCAGGCTCTTCCCTGGAGGAACATAGCATAGGGGTCAAAGCTTGTCCTGGGTTTGAATGGCTCTGCCCACAGCCAGCGGTACCGTCAGTTCACATGGCCCTCAGCTCCCCGTCTCTAACTAAGAGCTGCCTGTTTAGAGGGCCGTTAGGAGGATTAGATTAGATAGGTCACCCTCCCTTCTCTGAAATCCCTGGGATCAGGTGTGCTTTGAAATCTAGGATTTTTTGAATTTTAAGAATTGCATGTAAAATGTATTTTATTAATACTTTCATAAGATGAAAAATAGATTATTATGAATACACTGTGCATTGGTTTCAATTTTGCACCAAAATAAACTCATATTCCCATTCCACTTTTTTTTTTTTTTTGGCTAGAGGGCATGTGTGCTTGCCAGAGAGACAGAAAGAGAAAGTGAGAAGTCACCACCCAAGGGGGAGGGTCACACCACAGTCCCTTCTCCATTCTCCTCTTGGGTTTTTGGGCACGAATATTCACATGCCCAGCGTGTTTTTTTCAAGTCACCCGGTCTGGGACTTGAACCCTGCAATTGGCCGTGTGGGATCCAGCTGCCTTAACTGGCACACCACCCGCTGGCCCTCTTTTTTTATAAAGGTTGTACTACTTGACATCACCCTCTAGGGGCTAGACAGTGGTGCAGAGGTCAAAGGCAACGCTCTGCAAGGCCGACCCACGTGGAAAGAGTTTGTTCACATGCAGACACTGCCCTGACTACTGCAGGCACGTGTGTACCCACGATCCAGCGCTTCTGAGACAGGGAGACGGGGCACAAGGACCGTTAGGTGCTGCCTCTGTCTCTCTGGCTCATGGAAGAAATCAACTTCAGAAGAAGAAAAGGCAACCACAAGCCGTCAGGTGGCATAGTGGTTACAGTGCTGGACTCCCACATGGCCGACCGTGGTTCAAGTCCCAGACCTGGCAGCTTGAAATTCATGCAGGGAGCGTGTGCATGCATGCGTGCCCGAAATCCCAAGAAGGGAATGGAGAAGGGACTGTGGCTTGACCATCGCCCCCCCCGGGGGGTGATTTCTCTCTCTCTGTCTCTGTGTCTCCGGTGAGCATACATGCCCTGGAGCAAAAATCTCTCTCTTTAAAAACAAGACAATCGCTGTTCTATGGATATTGCTCTTAATGCTCCAATCTAAAAGCATTTGCCCTCTTTTTCATCAATTCCTACCCTTTTAAATCCAAATGGGGCTCTTCCTTCTTTCCTGTCCCCCGGGTACAGCCTGGGAGTGCCGGGCACTGTGCCCTACACCGCAGCTTCTCACACGGCCTTGCGCCCCGGTCTTCACACCCTGGGCTCTCCGGGCCAGCACCGACTCTGTCTTCTCTAGCCACTCACGAGAAGGACCCAGCCTCCTGACGAGGAGAGGCGGGGACCGTGCCATCCAAGTTGTATCCTCAGCACCTCACACAGGCCAGGTGCTCCAGAAGTGTTTTGTGGAAAGGCAGAGAGCCATCTGGGTTTGAATCCAGATTTGCATAGCCCTGGCCGAGAACGTAACCTCTCTGAGCTCCTGCTCCCCGGGGTATACAGTGGTGAGAGCGGGGAGCTCTCATCAGGGAGAGAGGAGGAAGGAAGGCCTGCACACACCCGCTCCCCTGCAGGCAGCGCTTAGTAACTGGGACCTGAGGGGCCAGCAGGTGGCTTGGTGGTTTAGGGTGTTGGATTCCCACATGGCTGACCATGGTTCAAGTCCCGGACCTGGCAGCTTGCTTTCTCACTTTCCCTTTCTCTCTCTCACTCTGTCCCTCTCTGGTCATATTAAAATAAATAAAGTTAAATAAAGTGATTTTTTAAAGAATTATTTTTTGTTTGATTTTATTCATTGTCATTATTTTCTTTTTTTATTGTTTTGAAGTTGACCAGAGAAAGACAGAAGGAAAGCGAGAAAGCAAGCTGCCAGGTCTAGGACCCGAACCATGGTCAGCCATGTGGGAATCCAGCCGCCTTATCCACCATGCCACCTGCTGACCCTAAATAAAATAATTCTTTTTTTATTTTAAATAGGTTTTTTTTTTTTCCTTGGGGGTGGGGGTGGGCTCTCCAGAAAGACAGAGAGACAGAGACAGAAAGTGAGAAATCACCCCCAGGGGGAAGGCCACGCCACAATCCCTTCTCCTCCATTCTCCTCTCAGGATCTTGGGCACGAACACACACGCGCCCGGTGTGAGTTTAAGCCACTGGGTCCAGGACTCGAACCGCGGTCGACTACGTGGGAGTCCAGCGACACAGCCATTATGACAACTGCTGGTCCCAGTAAAATAATTCTTCAAGGAAAAAAGAAATGGGACCTGGACCCAGTAGGTGGTCCCAGGCCTAGGCCAGGGGTGGGCGGGGCTTACCTTGGCAGTGCAGGTGGCCCTGAGGGGTTCGATGAGCCGGTCCACCCTCTGCAGGACGGGCGCAGGACACAGAGTGGCCAGCCGCGCCAGCATGATGAAAGTGAGCATCTGCCAGGAGGACGAGAAGGCTCCGGGTGAGACAGGGCAGGCCCACGTCCAGAGGCCACCACGTCTCGCCGGGCCTCGGTTTCCTCTTTACGCACTGTGTGGCAACTCCACCAACTACATGTGGCTGACTGGGGAGGATCCGGTAAGGGGAGGCCAGCGGGCTGGTGGGTGAGGGGTGGGGGTGCTGGGGCTCGCTGGGCTGTTGGCAAAGGTAACCCCGATTCTCATGCACGGGCTCCCGAATTTTTTTTTTTTTTTTGAGAGGTTTTTGCTATAGGGCACGTGCACTCTCCGGAAAGACAGAGAGAGACAGAGAGACAGAAAGCAAGAAATCACCCCCCAGGAGGGATGGCCACGCCGCAATCCCTTCTCCTCCATTCTCCTCTCGGGATCTTGGGCACACAAGTACACGTGCCTGGTGTGAGTTTAAGCCACCGGGTCCAGGACTCGAACCACAGTCAACTACATGGGAGTCCAGTGATGTAGCTATTATGCCATCTTCTGGACCTGATGGCCCTTTTTTTAAATTTTATTTTCTTGGCTCACATTTTTTTTTTAGAATTATTTAATTTTACTTATTATTTTATAATTTGATGAGACAGAGAGAGAGAAAGCAAGCTGCCAGGTCTAGAACTCAAGCCACAGTTGAGCATGTGGGAGTCCAGCACCTTAAGCACCACGCCCCCTGCAGACCCCAGCTCACTCTTAATGCTGCTACCATTGCGTGACAGGAGGTGCCCGGTTTATCCCACCGGCTCTCTTGGATGGATATTTAGGTAGTGCTGGCATTTCCCCGTTCCCAGAGCGCCATGGAGGTAATCTTACGTACAAAACTCTGACCGCACCTAGGAGCCAGCACAGAGGCTTTGTGCAGGGGTCAGACCGGATGACATGGAATTGCTGGGTCAGAGGGCACGTCTGGGAACTGCAAGTGGAGAAAGTTCGTGCCACACCACCCTCGAGGAGCTGCACCAGACACCCCACCAGTGGAGTTTGCAGCAAGAGGACCACGCAGGGGTTTGCACGGCGTCCTGGGGCACACGAGCTCCAGCCCCAGGGTGCGGGCCATCCCAGGGGCTCGGCCCTACCCGGATGTCGTAGTGGTCCTTCAGCCCGTCCTCCACGTGGTTCAGGAACTCGCAGAGGTCCAGCTGGGCCAGGCAGCTCTCGAGCAGCGAGTACATGCACTCAAAGGCCGCCTTCCGCACGTCCAACCCATCATCCACCGTGTGCTTAAAGGGCCCCATCTCCACCTGCAGGAGGGAGGGATGGCAGAGGTGGGGTGTGGCCCCAGGGTGGAGAATACCGCCCTAGTTCCTGCCAGCCACCCACACCTCTGAGGTTCCACCCTGCACCCTGGCCCCAGCTGCCACCTGTTACTCTCAAGACTCCGTGCTGTCCCTCAGCCCGCAATGCCATTTCCCCAAAGGGTAATGTTAGTACTAACGGTCCCCGTCGTCATAATCTACGGAGCAGGCACCGTGCGGAACACTCGCCAGGTGACACTGTGGTCGAGCACCACCCCTGCCTTCAGAAACAGGTGTCATGGGGCTGGCCAGTGGTGCGGTGGGTAAGGTGGCTGGGTCCCACCAGGCTGACTGCACGATTCGAGTCCTGGACCCGGTGGCTTGAAAAACACAACAGGTGCATGTGCATGCATGCCCAAATCCTGAGAGGAGAATGGAGGAGAAGGGATTGCGGCGTGGCCATTCCCCTGAGGGTGATTTCTCACTTTCCCTCTCTCTCTCTTCTGTCTCTGGTGAACACACATGCCCCATAGCAAAACTAAATAAAATAAAATAATGAAATAGATGTTATTATGGACTTCATTTATTCCCCGCCCCCCTTTTTTTTCAGTTAGAGGGCATGTGTGCTTGCCATGGAGAAGGAAAGTGGGAAGCACTCACCCACCAATGGGAGATGGTTATGTCGCAGTCCCTTCTCTTCCATTTCTCCTTCTGGGATTTTGGGCATGTTTGCTCACCCACAAAATGTGTTTTTCACTTTCTGTCTCTTTGTCTGTCTGGTGAGTGCACGCGTCCTATAGCAAAAACCTCTCCAAAAAAAAAAAAAAAAAGAAAGAAAGAAAGAAATGAATGAATAAATAAAGTTAAATAAAAATTTTTTTTAAAATAATAAAATTTGCTAGAACCAGAATTCTGAGAGGAGAATGGAGGAGACAGGTCTGCAGCATGGCCATCTCCTGTGTGTGTGTGGGGGATTTCTTTGCTTTCTGTCTCTTCGTCTCCCCAGCGAGCACATGCGCCCTTTAGCAAAAATCTTTAAATAATAATAATAACTCTTTTTATTTTTATTTATTTATTTTATTTGACCAGAGACGGGCAGAGTGAGTCAGAGTGAGAGAGAGAGAGATGGAAAGTGAGAAAGCAAGCTGCCAGGTCTGGGACCCGAACTGCGATTGGCTATGAGGGAGTCCAGCGCCCTTTAACTACCATGCCACCTGCCAGTAATCATTCTTTTTTTAAAAAAGTGTATATATATATATATTTTAAAAGTGTATATAGGGGACCAGCAGGTGGCATGGTGGTTAAGGCGCTGGACACTCCCACATAGCCAACCATGGTTCAAGTCCTGAACCTGGTTGTTTGCTTTCTCACTTTCTGTCTCTCTCTCTCTCTGTGTCTCTCTCTGGGCCAAATTAAAAATGAATAAATAAATAAGCTTAAATAAATAATCCTTTAAAAATAAGTATATATAATTCTTTCTCCCGAGAGAGACAGAGAAAGTGAGAGACTCCCCATGGTCCCTACACCGATGCACCCCAGGCTCAGCTGGCCGGAAACACCCGCGGAACGCTGCGGTAACAAGCGCAGGGCTGGGGCCCCGACCCCTCGGAGCAGCAGCAGGCTGGCCTCCTGGGATCTCAGCAACAACCCGACACAACCCGATGCAGAAGCGATCGGCTCCCTCGTCTGCAGTCAGGGGAAACAGGCCCAGAGCTGCTCCGCCTTGCTGGGAAGTTGCGCGGGATTTGACCCGGCTCCGCGGCCCCCGCCCTCCCTTGGTCCCCTCCACCTGAATCCGGCCACAGCCCGGCCTCTCCCGTGGCAAGAGAGGCCGCACCCCCGGCTCCCGGGGGGCAGAACGAGGGCAGGCCCTCCGGGGCCGCCCTGCTCCCACCTCTCGGATGAGGTCCCGGCGGATCTTGGTCTCCTGGTACAGGAGGGGCAGGATGGTGCCCAGCAGGTCGCGGACCAGCGAGGGCTTGTTGTGCACGGCCGAGTTGAAGAGCGCCAGGGTGGCGCGGCGCACGTTCAGGTCCGGGTCCTGCAGGCTCTCCAGGAACTCTCCTGCAGGGGGACGGCCGGGTGGAGGGGCGCACAGGGAGCCAGAGCCCGCCCCGCCCCGCCCCGCCCCGGGTACTCTATCTGCAGGCCCGGTCCAATGGGGCGAAGGTGTTCAGCACCAGCCACGACCACCCCTCGGACAGCAGCCTCAGCGGCCCCACAGGACAGCGTGGGCTCCAGACCTGGCCTCCCGTCCAGGCGCTGCCGCTTAACCGTGGGGCCTGGGAGAGCCTCAGCATCCTCATCTGTAAGTGGGGGTAACAGGGGCCTGGACCCTAGGACTGGGTTTCGTTTGTTTGTTTAGGTTTTTGCTGTAGGGGGGTGTGTGCTGGCAGGAGACAGAGAGAAAGAGAAAGTGAGAAATCACCCTCCAAGGGGGATGGCCACGCTGCAATCCCTTCTCCTCCATTCTCCTCCTCGGATTCTGGGCAGGCACATGCACCTAATGTAGGACTGATTTTTTTTTTAATTATTTGTTCATTTTATTTTAATTTGACCAGAGAGAGAGATAGAGAGAGAGAGAGAGAGAAAGCAAGCCGCCAGGCCCAGGACTCAAACCTTGGTCAGCCATGTGGGAGTGTAAAGCACCTTAACCACCATGCCACCTTCTGGTCCCCTTTTTAAATTATTTTATTCATTTATTTATTTATTATTATTATTTTTACATGGGCTTTTGCCAGAGAAAGAGAGAGTAAGGTGCCAGGTTCAGGACTCAAACCGTGGTCGGCCGTGTGGGAATTCCAGCGCCTTAACAACTACACCACCTGCTGGCCCCCTAGGACTGTTTTTAAAATTAAAAACGTGGGGCTGAGGGACCAGCAGATGGCTTAATGATTACATTGCTGAACTCCCATGCAGATGACTGCAGTTTGAATCCTGTACTTGTGGTTTAAAACTCACTCCGGGTGTGTGTGCGTGCGTGCCCAAGATCCAGAGGTGAGAACAGAGAAGGAACAGCAGCATGGCCATCCCCTGGTGGGGGGGAGTGATTCCTTGCTTTCTGTCTCTCTGTCTCTCCAGCAAGTGCACGTGCACTATAGCCAAAATCTTTCCTTTTTTAATTTTTTATTTTTGGAGAGGTTTTATTGCTATAGGGTGCGTGCGCTCACCGGAAAGACAGAGACAGAGAGACAGAAAGCAAGAAATCACCCCCCCCAGGGGGGGTGGCCCACCGCAATCCCTTCTCCTTCATTCTCCTCTTGGAATGTTGGGCATGCACGCACATGCGCCAGGGGTGAGTTCAAGTCACCGGGTCCAGAACTCGAACCGCAGTCAACTACATGGAAGTACAGCGGCATAGCTATTACGCCAACTGCTGGTCCCCAAATCTCTCTTAAAAAAAGATGTGATGAGGACCAGCAGTTAGCATAATGGCTATGTCGCTGAACTGAGGTTCGAGTCCCGGATCTGGTGGCCTAAACTCACGCCGGGCGCATGTGCGTGCGTGCCCAAGATCCCGAGAGGAGAATGGAGGGGAAGGGATGGCGGCGTGGCCATTCCCCCTGGGGGGTGATTTCTCGCTTTCTGTCTCTCTGTCTGGCGAACGCACGCGCCCTGTAGCAAAAAACTCTCAAAAAAAAATGTATATACAGTGTGTGATAATCGAATCAAGGAAATAAACCTTTACCAAAAAAAAGGAAAGAAAAATACATCATGATTTCCGGATGACCCAGTCCATACACGCATACATACATACACGCACGCCCACCCTAGTTCTGCTGCTCAGAGGGCCCGGAAGCCACGGCACCCAGCAGCAACGAGCACACGTGGCACCCAGACTTGGGCTTCTATTGATAAGTCCCATAGTCCACTACGGGAAGTCAGGGCTCCCAGAGAAATGGCTGGCTCCAGGGCCATGGCTGGAGAGGTGCCAGGTGAGTATCTGAAGTACCGTAGGGCGTCAGAAAGGGAGGGCAGGCCCAGACAGTGGTGGAAAGAGGCAACGGAACCTAGGAGCCCGTTCGAAGGGCTCTGAGGAAGGAAGTCTGAGACATCGGAAGGTCGTCGGGCCTCAAGAGCCATGCAGACTGAGCTGCACTTATGGTGAGCGCATGACTTTTTTTCTGGAGAGGTTTTTGCTATAGGGCGCGTGCGCTTGCCAGACAGACAGAGAGAGACAGAGAGACAGAAAGCGAGAAATCACCCCCCAGGGGGGATGGCCACGCCGCAATCCCTTCTCCTCCATTCTCCTCTCGGGATCTTGGGCACGCACGCACACATGCCTGGCATGAGTTTTAAGCTGCCGGGTCCGGGATTTGAACTGCGTTTGACTATGTGGGAGTCCAGTGACATAGCCATTATGCCAACTGCTGGTCCCCATGTCTTTTTTTTTCTTTTTAAGAGAGGGATTTTTGCCATGAGGCACATGTGTTCGCCAGAGAGACAGAGAGACAGAAAGCGAGAAATCACCCCTCAGGGGGATGGCCACACCGCAATCCCTTCTCCTTCATCTTCCTCTTGGGACTTCGGGCACACACGCACATGTGCCCTACTTGAGTTTAAGCCGCTGGGTCCGAGACTCGATCCACAGTCAACTCCATGGGAGTCCAGCGATGTAACCATTATGCTATCTGCTGGTCCCCCTGATCTCATGACTTTTAGGGAATTCAGAAGCTCTCACAGACTGGATGGAGCTTTTTGTTCTGTAAATGGATTTAGGTATTCTTGGGCTGGGGGAGGAAGGACTGTAGCCATAGAAACCTAATTATACTTGTGCTAAAAAATGCTAACCCATGTGAAGTCCTGAAGGGGAGAAGAAAGGCTGCTAACTGTGAAGAGGCTCGGGGGGCGTTCAACGTGGGACGTCCCTGTTACCTTCCGGCACACCTGTGTGAACTAACTGCTCGGGCATTCCTTTTTTTCTTTTTTAAATTCCCAAAGGGTGTGTGCACTCACTAGTGAGAGACAGAGACAGTGAGAGAGCAAGAAGGAGAAAGTAACCCCCAATGGGGCATGATCACACTGCCATCCCTTCTCCATTTCTCCACCCCATCGAGACTTGGCAGGCCCGCAGAACTCAGCACCCCCATGGTATAGCGGAGGATGAGTTGGCCGGTCCCCGCTCCCATAGCCAGCGAGTGACAGAGCCAGGATCCCAGCTCTGGCAGCTCCTGCCTGGCAGCTCCACATCCTCCAAACCCTCTCTGTTTTCTGGCTGGATGAAAGGGTCCAGTTTCTTTTTAAAAATAATCTATTGGGATCAGCAGTTGGTGTAATGGCTGTGTCGATGAACTCCAATGTAGTCAACCGTGGTTCAAGTCCCGGCCCTGGTGGCTTGAACTCACGCCGGGCACCAGTCC